GCAGATATACGAGCATTTAGTCATTGATCTGAGTAATTGATTGTTTTTTTTTTTTTGCAGAGGATGTAAAAATAGGGGATAAAAACGCTGACAAAGGTTATTGCACAGTAACCTTTGTCTAAATGCAGATATACGAGCATTTAGTCATTGATCTGAGTAATTGATTGTTTTTTTTTTTTTGCAGAGGATGTAAAAATAGGGGATAAAAACGCTGACAAAGGTTACTGCACAGTAACCTTTGTCTAAATGCAGATATACGAGCATTTAGTCATTGATCTGAGTAATTGTTTGTTTTTTTTTTTTTGCAGAGGATGTAAAAATAGGGGATAAAAACGCTGACAAAGGTTACTGCACAGTAACCTTTGTCTAAATGCAGATATACGAGCATTTAGTCATTGATCTGAGTAATTGATTGTTTTTTTTTTTCTATTGGATGGTTAGTTATTTTTGTGATCTTTTTTGTGTACATACAAAAGTCTGTAATAGGAGATTGAGAGCTAAGCAACTCAGAAATGTATGGTCCTAACTAGACATTTATATTCACTCATTTTTAAAAATCTATCACAATTTCTGCATGACACGTTTAAAGATAACAAATACGTTTCTCAAGCCAATTATCTGATTGAGAGGCATGTATCCTAGGTTAGGATTAGATCCAATATGTTCTCAAAACATGAATGCATGAAGGGCCAGAAGCTGGCCATCAACCCAACCCAACAAATCTAAAACTGGCCTTAAAAGGTTGACGCCAATTTGTGATCAAGCTTTTACAGTATTTACTAGTTTATACAGTTATACAGAGACATTTCTCTGAACAATGTGATGCTGGTAAAATGATTAGAAAGCAAAAACATAAGATCCTTGTTACGCAACTGCTCAACATGTTTGTGTTATTCACACAGTGGCTCGCAAAACTGTTCATATCTGTTGTATTTACATTACCCTCGTTACATTTTTACTACCTTGTCACATTAGAAACGCTATAACTTCAATGTATTGCTTGGGGATTTTGTGTGATAAAATGTCATAAAGCAGAGCATAGCTGAAGTGGAAGGAAAATTAAACATGTTTTTTAAAGTTATTATTATTATTTATTTATTTACAAGCTAAAGGTCTAAAAAGTCTGGCATGAATTTGTAGTCACTGTCCTATTAATCACCTGGGCCCCTAATAGTAAACAGTTCATCGGTGTGTAATTCAATCCAGCGGTTCAGGGAAGGCCTTTGTGATGAATTGAGTTTGAGGTGACGAGGATTTGAGTCGGTGAGACCCACGGTAAGTGGAGAAAAATAAGTTTAATGATGTCCAGGTACTCAGGTAAACCGAAAGGGAGAGACAAAACCACGACCAGGACCCGACAGAGAAACAAAGACACAGGTGATGTTAAATACACAGAATAATCAGAGGAAGCAAGAGACAGCTGGGAACAATGAGTGGCTAGACACGAATGTCACAAGGACAAAATTAACTAATAATCAGACACAAAACCCACATTCTTACAGCCATTGTTGTTTGTTAGAGAAGATTAGTGAACAAACAGCAACATGAAGACCAAGGAACCCAGCAGAAGGTTCAGGGATTCAGTTGAAGAGACATTTAAGGGCTGAACCTTTGGGGTGGGGACAGCAAATGTGTGGATAAAGGTGCTCTGGTAATACATGCTACAGTAATGAACATACTAGCTCTATGATAAAGCATGCTGGTGGCAGGATCGGACTGTATAGGTTGGTTTTCTTCTGCAGGGACAGTGAAGCTAGTCAGAGTTTAATGTGGAGATGGATGGAGTAATAAACAGGATTATCTAAGAATAAAACCTGTTGGATGCAGATTTCTGTTGCTGTGGCCCGCTTGTTTGAAGGTTTGACATGTTATTTCTTAAGACATGATATTCAGTTTGCCTCGGTGCAATGATTTCAGCTATTGTTGCCTAACTGGGTTGAAGGATCGCTTGCCTAAACATGCAACCAGAGCTACCAGGAAATGCCTTAGATCAGAGGATATTTGTGTGTTAGAATCGTCTAGATCCAAATCTGAGAGTTTTATTCTTGAAATAAAGTCATGACAGTTTTCACCACTTAAGGAATACAGAAGACCAGCAGTCAACATAGCCCCTAATACACCATCCCGCTGGTGAACAACGGTGATGGCAACATCATGATATGGGGATGTTTTTCTTCAGCAGGGACAAGGAAGCTTGTTAGAGTTCATTATGAGATGTATTGAGCTAAATACAGAGCAATTCTAGAAGAAAATCTGTTGGAGGCTGCAGAGGCTGGGACTGAAGTTCAGGACAATGTTCCTAAACATACAGCAAAAGCTAAAATGGAATGGTTTAGATGCTTATGCGAGATAGAATGGCCTCCCCCAGCTCCAGAGCTAATTCCAATAGAATATTGGTGGCAGAATTTGAAAAGCAATGTTTAAAGATGCTCTCCATCCGATCTGATTGGACTGAGCCATTTTCAAATACAGATAAGTACAAATGCACAGCACATTTGCTTGTGTGTGTGTGTTTGCAGTGAAAACTGTGAATTATTTCTCTTCATATGTACAATTATGTCATATCTTGTGCTGTTCTATCCCACAAGATTCTAAGAAAATATATTGAAGTTTGTTGTTACAGCCATTGCAGATTTCTGTTGCTGTGGCCCACTTGTTTGAAGGTTTGACATGTTATTTCTTCAGACATGATATTCTGTTTGCCTCGGTGTAATGATTTCAGCTATTGTTGCCTTTCCGTCATCTCGGACCAGTATGCCCATTCTCCTCCAACTTCAAAAAGACATCAAGGCCAACACACACTGGCTTTAATGTGTGTGTTAAAAAAAGAGAGATGGTTGCGTGTGAAATTTAGCAGATCAGCAGTTTCTGAAAAACTCAGACCAACCCATCAGCATGGAGGCAATCAGCTTGTGGCACTGCGTAGGTGTAAAAATGACCTTGCTAGGCTTCAGGTCAGCTGCATTGTTGGGCCTTGTGTCTCTCATCTTCCTATCTTCAATGCTCCATAGATTATGCGGTTCTGGTTGGGTCAGATTACTGGTAAATGAAGGAAAAAAAGACCATGGTCATTGAACCATGCTTTTGGTACCATCAGCACTGTGGGCAGGTGGCAAGTCCTGCTGGGAAATAAAAATCAGCATGTCCATACAGCTCGTCACCACAGTGAAGCATGAAATGCTCTAAAATTTCCTGGTAGTTGCGTTGACTGTGGAGTTCAGAAAACACAGTGGATCAACACCAACATGGCACCCCAAACCCAAACCATCATGTACTGTGGAAAAAACCCCAAAAACATTGGGCTTAAAGCAAGAGAGTCCTCTCTTCTCCAGATCCTGAGACCTTGCTTTCCAAATGAAATGCAAACTTTACTTTCATCTGAAAATGGGGGCAATTGTATCCTCTCAAGGGTGCAGTCATCCCTGTTGAAAGTACACACTTTCTCTTTCATTTTCTATGAAAATGTTATAGCTTTTATTATATTTCACAGAATTTGGGGTTTTCGTTATCTGTAAACTATATTTATCAATCTAATAAGAAAAAAATGACTTGAAATATTCCAGTGTTTGTGTAATGAACCTATAAAATAATTGAGTTGTACTTTTCAAAAAATATTGAACCTTGTCACAATATTTAAAGTTTGAGCTGTACCTGTTTAAAATATACACATTGCTTTGAAGTTACCTAATTTAGTTAAAAAACACATTTTTTGTTAAAGATTAAGCTTTACAGTAAAAATGCTCTTTTTTTTCTCCATCAGGAGTCTGGCCTACAACAATCTGGAGACTCTCCCCAAAGATTTGTTCAAAGGTCTCGAGGCCTTGACAAAAGTGTAAGTATTATTCCTTGTTAAAGACAGAAACTAATAAGATTATACACTTGATACAATCTCTAATGTTGTACAATGAATGATGAGCTGTCCGTACAACTTTCTATTTTTAGAAATACGTATCATTTATTGCTCCTCCTTCACCGAGGTTTGACAAACGCGTAGGCAGCTGGAGCTTTTAGCGCCATTAAAATTGCATGCACTGGAGGAAGAGAGAGAAAGGAGGGAGAGGGGCTGCAGGCTATTATCCAGTGAAGATGTTCAGTCTTCCTTGATGTCGATGAAACCTCAAATTGAGGACGTCAGAGAAAAGCCACCATCTGGAGCTTCAGAACGTTAAGCTCACTGTAGAACAGGAGGAGTGATGCTCTCAGATTTTCACACAATGGTTTTCTCCCCTCAGAGACTTGCGTGGGAATCATTTCTTGTGTGACTGCAAGCTGAAGTGGTTAGTGGAGTGGATATACGGCACCAATGCCACCGTGGACCAGATTTACTGCAAGGGCCCGGCCTCACAGCTGGAGAAGAAGATCAATGACCTGTCGCCGCAGTCCTTCGACTGCATCACCACAGGTGGAGCATTGACTCCTCACATTAATCCTTCTTTGCAGATTTTACTTGTAAAGATGTTTTTTTTTTGTTTGTTTCCCTCACAGAGTTTGCTCCCTACCAGTCCTTGAAATTTGAGTCCATATCAGTGGAAGCATTTTCTTTCCGGAACGACCAGTATGTCGTCTTTGCCCAGCCATTTATCGGGAAGTGTGGCTTCCTTGAATGGGATCATGTCGAGATGAACTTCAGAAACTTTGACGATATTGACAGTAAGTAAAGTCAATCAGCTGCTTAAGTCTCAAACTAAAATTGGCAATAAAATGGGAGCCAACGGATTGCATGTTTTTCCAGGTACATCCACTGTGATCTGCAAGCCTCTCGTCATTGACAACCAGCTGTTCATCATCGTGGCTCAGCTGTTTGGAGGCTCCCACATCTACAAGCGGGACACCTCTGCCAACAAATTCATCAAGCTTCAAGGCATTGATGTCCTGAAAATCCGCAAGCCAAATGACGTCGAGACGTTCCGGATCGATGGAGAGTCCTTCTTCGTCATAGCCGACAGCTCCAAGGCTGGCTCCACCACCATCTACAAGTGGAACGGCAATGGCTTCTACTCCCATCAGTCCCTCCATCCGTGGTACCGCGACACTGACGTGGAGTACCTAGAGATCTCCTCCAAACCTCACCTGATCCTGTCCAGCAGCTCCCAGAGGCCCGTCATCTACCAGTGGAACAAAGCCGTCAAGCATTTCGACAGACGAACCGACATCCCGGAGATGGAGGACGTTTATGCCGTCAAGCACTTCCAGGTCAAGTCTGATCTCTACATCTGCCTGACGCGCTTCATTGGCGACTCCAAGGTGATGCGCTGGGATGGCGCCCTCTTCAGAGAATTACAGACCATGCCCTCCCGAGGCTCCATGGTGTTCCAGCCCTTCACCGTGGGCAGCTGGCAGTACGCCATTCTGGGCAGCGACTACTCTTTCACCCAGGTGTACCGCTGGGATGCCAAGAAGGGCGAGTTTGTTCGCTTCCAGGAGCTGAACATTCAGGCACCAAGGGCCTTTTCTCCAGTTTCCATTGACAACCGTCAGTTTCTGCTGGCCTCCAGTTTCAAAGGGAAAACTCAGATATACGAGCATTTAGTCATTGATCTGAGTAATTGATTGTTTTTTTTTTTTCTATTGGATGGTTAGTTATTTTTGTGATCTTTTTTGTGTACATACAAAAGTCTGTAATAGGAGATTGAGAGCTAAGCAACTCAGAAATTTATGGTCCTAACTAGACATTTATATTCACTCATTTTTAAAAATCTATCACAATTTCTGCATGACACGTTTAAAGATAACAAATACGTTTCTCAAGCCAATTATCTGATTGAGAGGCATGTATCCTAGGTTAGGATTAGATCCAATATGTTCTCAAAACATGAATGCATGAAGGGCCAGAAGCTGGCCATCAACCCAACCCAACAAATCTAAAACTGGCTTTAAAAGGTTGACGCCAATTTGTGATCAAGCTTTTACAGTATTTACTAGTTTATACAGTTATCCTCTAATATTCCATAGTGATTTACAGAAGCCGAAATCTACTTTTTAAACTGTTATGTTTTAACTGAACAAATCTGCCGAAACACAAAGTTTACATTTTTTCTGTCTTTCCATTTGTATGCTGCAAAGATTTGTAAAAGATGCTTTTGTAAGTGTAGAGATGGTCCAGGGCAGACAGGGTTGTATTTGTTAAAAGGGCGATAGGATTGTGTTATGCAAAAAAAAAAAAAAAAATTGAGAGGAAAAAGAAAAAAAAAAAAAACATTTTCTAAGTCTTCGATACCGTTTTACCATATTCCTAAAGTTGAGGTCCAAAAGTTTACTTTAAATTTGTGGCAGATATCACTGCAGTGGCTTCAAGTACAGAGCTGACAGAAACCATAAACTGTAGGGAAGGATGGATGGAGAAATTAGAGCATAGATAGATTTAGGGATAATTCAGTAGTAGGCCAATGGTTATGCAGGCATATTGATGGATGGATTAAACTAATGCACAGGCGATACTGTTTAAGGATAATGACAAATGGTTGAAATAATGTACCAAAAGATGGACAGAATGGAGTATGGACAAATGAGCAGATGGATGGACCAATAGATGCACAAATAAGTGGATTCGTGAATAGTGAGCAAAAAATGATAGAAGTATAGACATATGGAGTTATATCTGGATGGACAAACAGATGAATGGATGAACAATCATAAGCAAATGGACAGACTGATGAATGTACTAATTGAATGAAAGGATGGACAGACAGGCTGAAAGGTAGATGGACATTGAAACAAGTGTACTGGGAAGAATTTGGATATACACATCTTTCAAGACTCAGCTTTGATTTTCTGTTCCCTTCCAGACTGGGAACACTCCTGAATCTCATTCCAGGCCGAGTAGAAACTCTGCATACAGATATATTGTGAGTCTACCTGTATATCCTTGCGACTTCCGTTTTTATCGTTAATGGTTTGTAAAGTGTTTAAAGTATTGAGCAGTTTTTCATGACTGGCAACTATTTGAACTATTTTCGAGCTCCTTTAAAAAGGTACTGAAATGAAAAAGAGACTGTTCATATTCTTTAACTATCATGTGCGCAAAACTCATCATTTGTGTCACGACTAAGATGAACCTTATGTTATTTGGAGTCAATAAAAGAGTTATTTAATCTGAGAGCTTCCTGCATATTAACTTCAGCGTTACATCATGAATAGAGGCGGCAGAGGACGTCTGCGCCAGCCTTTCAGAATGTGTCGTGCAGTTGTGATGAAATGAGAAAGTAAATAAATACAAACAAATAAAATTCTTTTAATCTTCTCCGACAAAGTGCACGCCTCAAATCTACAAAGCAGCACATTACAATGTAATGGAATAAATACAACTGAAAAAAAAAAACAAAAAAAACGTAAGGAGATACACAAGTACCTGCACAATCACACGTTTGCAGCGAGTTTAAATCTGGCTCTTTAGAAAGGCTCCGCAGCAAAGCTTCAGTCGTCGGGCTTCAGTCGTCCGGCTCCTCGTGTCGCCAATCCTTTGGATGGAGGCGTCCAACATGTCGCGTCCTAAAGCAAACCAGTTTAAAACCGTGCATCTTCCTTGGAGACTACCAAACTAACATGAAGGAAACAGGTGTGCACTCTCATGTTCATACACTTCACCCTGGAATACTTGTGCAACTGCAGCAGGGCCCCTACTGCCAGGAGAAAAATTAAAGTGAACATGTTTTCAGCCTCAACTGAACTTACAACTCAAGTTTGTGTGGTGCAACTTAGTGTTTTGTTTTTGTTTTTGTTTTCCTCCATAGGCAAACATAACACAAAAAGGCAAAGGAACATTGCGTCCCTTCATTATCCACAAAATAATTTAGTCCTCTTTAAATAAAACTGGAAAAACACTATTTTCAAATGGTGAGTCTTACAAAACAAGAAAAACAAACAAAAAAAAGGGATGAAATCAATTTCAGACAGAGAGAGGAATGCTCTAGGAGACATGATTTGTAGAAGGAAATAACTCAATCCCATGGAAAAAAAGACAGTATTAACAATAAAATTCTGTACAGAACTAAAAATTAATATACAGTACAGTACCTGCAGATGTTATGCATACAGTACAATTCTTTTTTTTTTCTTTTTCTTTTTTACATAGTTTTAGTACGAGCTCCAGCCTGATCTATATACTGCCTTAACATAGGTGGAAAAGCGGTTAGCTTTAGCTTACAGTAATTTTAATGGTTATTCAGCAAGGAGAGCAGATCTCAAAGTATTTCGAAAAACAGACTGAAAACTTATTGCCGAATGGTCATCTTCAGTTGCATACTGCATGTGTTACGTAACTGTGTCCTTTAACGTGGAGCAGCAGGCTGATGGGGAGACGGCGTCAATGGGGAGAGAAGAGAGGAAGAAAAAAAAAAAAAAAAAAGGCTAGGTTAGTTGGTTTTTGCTATCTGTCCGAGTCACCCTACCCTGTACAGTACATTCGTGGGCCAGAGCTGCACGTTAGCCAGCCAGATCCACCTTGATTCTGCACGGTGGTGTTGTGCTGGGGCTTCAGTGCTGATTTTGTCCTGTGAGTCAACACTAATCCAGTGATGGGATGAGAGCGTAACCAGAGCTCACCCGAAGGCCCGGGCGGTGTTCCATCTGCCATCACAGTTTGAGCTCGTTGGCAATTTTGCAGGCGATGTTCTTAAAGGCGATGGACGTGCCCGATATCCTCTTGAAGCGCACGCCATTGAGCGAAAGGCGGGGCAGCTTGCACACCTCCATCTCCCACTGGACTAGATTGTCCTGGCGCGCGTCGCCGTGAACACAGAACAGCAGGAAGCGCTCGCGCTGCTCATAGTCGCAGCTGTTGGCGTCCAGGACCTTACGGATCTCCCGCATCATGTCCGCGGGGTCCATGGAGGAAGTGGTCTTCATGCTCCAGGTGAAACGCAGCGAGCGGGGCTTGGAGTCCCGACCGGCGTCATCCTTGGTGTCGCCAGACGCACTCCTGGAACAGCATTAGATGGACAGGGGAAAAAAAAAAGAAAAAGAAACTCTTAATGAGGTTAAATACAGGCTCTCACTGAAATGGAGATGAAATGGTTTTATTGGTTACAGAGATAAAGGTTTTATCCATTAAAAAAAAAAAAAAAAAAGTCCACTAAAATCATATTTGATGTCCATGCAGATAAAATCTTTTCTTTGTCCCTCAGACAAAGATTGTCCAGGCGCGCGCTGCAAGTAGAAGGCAGTAAAAGGAAATCTGTGATGCTTCAATCATCAGTGTTGCTGTATTTTGAACATTTGAAGCTCTTTCAAGTTTTTTTCGGTTCTTCCAACATGCAAAAGGAAATGACACAGATAGCCATCTTCCTCTTCCAGTAGCCACTAGTGGTGAATGCTAAGCTAGATATTAGCCAGATGATTAGCTTGTCAGGTTTGTCAGCATTGTAACTCAGCAGGAAAGCCCAAATAAGAAACGCGTTGAGTGCAGCCATCTCCTCAGGAAGGGAAGCAGTTATTGGCTGTGAAAATACCTTTGTACAAGTTATTTCTTATTCTCAAAATTAAATTTGTAAAGGTAAACATAAATATAAGAATACAATTACAGATAATATGTGACTGAAATGATGAAAATTACTCCTACAAAAATTACATTAAAGCTGCAGGAATAATGTTGATGACTCTACTTTGAGAACAACAACTTCACCTGGTAATAATAGCACATTTAGCAAGATTTCAACACACTGTGATAACACTAAAAACAGCGATGAATTTGAACAATCGTGATACAAAAAAATGTAGATTATTGACCTTCTGAGTTCAAATCTCACCTTGGTGTTTCAGTCCTGGCACTGGCCTCGCCCTCACTAGGTACCCTGAAATAAACCCAAAATTCACTCGTTACATCTGAGCTAATGTCGACATCAAATCCCCCCCAAACTCACCCGCCACCCGCCAACCGACTGCCAAAACCAGCTCAATCATGACTGAACACAGACGAGGGTGTTGGGCATCATGCCAGGAAAGAATCCACACTCCTGGGTGTCAGAGCTCAGCACACAATGAGATGACCTTTCATCAGTAAAGCCGACATAAACCATATGCATCATCCCATCTGTCGTAACACACCTTTCCTTAATCTCCACTGACATGTAAAGAGAGGAAAAGTGCTTATGCGTGTACACAGCTCGATTTCAGTTCTATTAATCGTCTGTCTCAAGCTCTGCATGAAGGCAGGGGGAGGAGTAAGGAGAGGACAGCTCGCAACTACAGCCGTACACATCTAGTGGCTTTAGTAGAGAAAGCTGGAGAGCCGTGAAGTCTGGTCGTTAAGGCGGAGGACAAAGGGGGAAGAGATACACGGCATAACAAGGGTGTCGGTAGGCGAGGATGTGGTGGGCAAGTACATAAAGACGTTAAAACACACGGGTCGTCGTGGGCAGAGAGGGTTTTTTTTTGAGTTATTGTTATAGATGGGAGGAGAAGGAGGGGGACATGTGCAGCAAGCGTTATGTTCTCCTACCTCCGGGTCGACCTGAAAGACATAGCTCTATGCGGGGAGAAAAGGAGAGAAAGCTGTAAGCTATGAGCAAGGGGCAGCTTGAAAGTGACACTCGCATGAAGAGGCTCAGGATGCTGGTACTGACAGAAAGCTGGCAGAAGGTACGCCACTATACTTTTTAAAAAATAACAAAAAAGATGCACCAATGAAAAACCTTTTGGCCTATTTCATATCTTTCATTTTAAACCAAAGATTTTTTATTTTTAGTCCATTCTGATTTCTGTTTACCGACAGTAATTTATGAAAAAAATAACAGCAGACAACATATTTTTCTAGCCTTTTCTGCTGTAAGTAGTCATTAAATAAAACTATTGGAAATAAAAATTTGCAATACTTTAAAAACAAGGAAAAAATTATAGAATTTAGTATCTTGTATTCCTGATCACCAAGGTTGGGAAAGCATTTCCAACTCTCCCAGACATTGAAAACCTTATTCTAACTTCTTAATTAGCAAAACTTCCACAAGGAAGTGTTTTTTTTTTCTGTCATAGTAGACATGGTAGCACTTGAGATGCATTAACTGATTAGAAAATGATGGATATTTCAGTTTCCAGCAAGCCTGCCATCTGTCAGGGTCTTTTTAACTAAAGCTATGAGACTAAGGGAAGTTATCAAATTATTTCTTGGTGCATCTTTATTCAGCTAAAAGACTTTAGGCAAAACTATAAAACTGTTCTAGAACCTAAAAAAAAAAAAAAAATGCCTATTAGTTGATAGACCTCACTGACCTGCGGACAAACTTTGAGGTGATCTTGCTGATGATTCCCGTGGACGTGCCCCTGCGCTGCTGCGCGAGAGCCCCCGTGTCGTGGGACAGCGTGGGCGAGGCTGGGGGGCCGTTGTACGTAGCACTGCGGCGGTCTCTGAGCTGAGCTCCGTGAAAGGTGCTGCGGCTGGTTGTGCCGCGGGGGAAGCGGTTCTTCTCGGGGGTGCTAATACTGTGCACAGATGGAGAGTTGGACGGATCCCGTGGAGAGGAGCTGCAGCATAAGCAGGCATTAATAATTGACATCTTCCTGAGGTCTTGCATCAGCCTGTGGCAGTGCAGATGTTCGGCTGCTGCTCACCTAGCTTTCAGCTCCGTGTTGTCGTCGATGGGGGGCAGCGTGCTTTTTGAAGGATGCCCCGACGCCGACATGGACTTAGTGTGACGGGGTCGTGTAGAGCTCAGTGCAGTGGAGGGTGTGCTGCCTGACACCTCTGTTAAACTGAAGGTCGAGAGCAGGGAGTGTTACCATGTCAGGACTCAATTGTCCATTAATAAAATAAAAGGAGCCACAAAGTATGTAGAGTAAGCTAGAAAAGAATGGATAAATAAACTCAGAGGGATAAAATAATCCTGTGGTTGTCTAACCTGCTGTCTTTGCCATTGGGAATAGCTGAATAGCGATCAGTGGAGGTTCGCTCACACACATACGTGTTCCTGCGGGTCATTGAACCATTGGTCTGTTGGTGAACAGAGACACCAAGAATGATTTCATGGTAATCAGTATATTTACTTTTACACAAGTTACCCATCAGCCTGTTAATATGTATAAAAACCAGAAGACTTAACATTCCTTCTGAAAAAAAAACAAAATAAAAACAATAACAGATTTATCTTTTTCTCATGAGAATCACTG